GAGCCATTCAAAATTTGATCATAATTTATGAATATTCAAAGAATCGGCAAAAATTATGCATTATGTTTGAAAATTTCATAAGAAAAGTCTCGAATATGTTAGAGGGGAAAAAAACATACAACTCATTGTTATTTAATAACTTTGCACTGTATACCTTTGGCTTGCATCGACAAATCAACGCAAACATTAAGAAGAATATTCAAGCATAGTTCAGTATTTATTTACAGATATTGGTGGATTTAGGTAAAAAATAAATTTATGATTCATGGTGAATCAAAAGTAAAGCCAAATTAAAGACAAATTTTCAAGAAAATTGAATAACATTTTATAACTACCTCAGCATTTCATTCAATCGAATTGGATGCTCGTGTGTTAAAATTTACTTTATTACTATTGATATATAAAGTTAGAAATCGGATCGTTATATATATTTCTATATAGTTCATGATCGTGTGAAAATATTTTTCGCAGCGCAAGAGTCATAAACAGTACATTTTTATTGATTAATAACTTTACAATTCAATGATTTCTTGTAATAATTAACTAGATTCAAATATTAAATGAAAATCAAGCTATTGAGAAATATCCTGATAACTCTAATGTAATTAAACTGTTTGCACATTATGCACAAAATCAAAATACATCTATTTCATCAATGTTAATCCTTGAACTGTTAAATTTGTTTTTTGAAACTAAATAGTTAAGCTTTCACAAAATAAATTTCTGAAATTATATGATATTTAACAATAATACAAAGCTTTTGTCGACTCTAAAAATTCTTATTCTGATTACTATTCAAAATAGAAGAGAAAATTTAGTATAATTAATCATTGGCCAGTTTATTTCAAACAACCACTATCTCTTGTTAGACTATTGCACGGTTTCATACAAGAACAATAAGGAGTAACTATTTTTACTGATTCATTTTAATTAGCTTGACTTTAAGGGTATTCTCTGAATTACTCTCTACATATCATTTTCATAATTTAATCTTCTAAGTTAAATTGAATAATGCAAGAACTCATCTAATAGGTCCGAATAAATGATAATGATTTATAATAGCCAGAAATTCTTGCGAATGATCAAGTTTTTTCTCTCTCGTATAAATTAATGATGCGACTAAAATTGTGTAGAGTATAATGGTCAAAGAAAGAAAACTTACTATTTCTCAGAGCGTTAAAAAGTGCTGCTTATGAAATACCTAATATCTTCATTTGAAATTTATTTGATTTTTAACGAAAAAATATTGCAAAAGTGAATCCATTTTCAAAACTCTAACAAGATGATTTATGAATACTACGAATATACCCAAATATCTGCGAATGCTCGATTATATTCTCGCCTTGGTTCAAATGCGTGACGATTAAACGAGTGAAATGTACAAACAGCAAACATATTCGAGCAATGTTCTGAATACTATTGAGTGGAGAAAAAATGTGTTCCTTCAAAAAAGCGTCCAAAGGCTGTTTTTTACTGGCGTTTTGATTTAGAAAAACATGTTTTGAACAAAAGAGATGTGTTTAAATCCGTTGAAAATGAAAACCTATGTGTTTAACAGCAGAAATAGGATTTTTTTTTCTAAAAGTTAGGTATGAGTGTGGGGTGTGGGTGTGGGTGTGACTCTACTTACCTACACCCACACTCTAATTATTGTCTAGCAAGATGTTTTTGAAGAATTCAGATACAAGTTGAAAATTTATTGCGCCAGTGTTCGTCTTTCTTCTTTGTCTCATTTCACTCACGAAGGTATGACGAACATAAATCATACACCGTTAGAAAGAGGAGAAAATTTCCTATCAACTGATAACAAAACTTTATTTGAAAACATGTTTCTTGAAGAGTTATCCAAGAAATATAGGCACCAACATGTTCCGCTGTTTTTCTAAATTCCACGAAAAGTGTGGATATGTTTTGAGGGTGTCTCTCTTTTTTTATTGTGTCGTTCGGTTTACAAACGTGTTATCAAAATAAATTATATGTAATTCGAAAGAGGAGAAAAAGCTCTATCTTTTGGTAAAAAAAGTTTTCTTTCAGCACTTGTCTATCGAAGAGAAATATAGGTCAACATTTTGTGTCATTGCTTTTGCATCGTGCGTTAGTTTATGGAAAGCAAGTGTATAAATTAGACCGTGAAGAAACGAAGAGAATAGAAAGGAATAGAATGCTAATTACACAAATAAAAGTAATCGATCTGAAATGATAGTATACGAGATATTAGACGAACTATAGATAATCGAAGGACGGAAAGATGGAAACGATCGAAGCATATGTACTTGTGATGCACTGTAACATATATGTGTATATAGATATGGTATACGTACAAACAGAACATAGAAGAACAGCGCGACATAGCCACTTATTGTATCGCTGGTGTGCTTTTCGCTGAATTTCGACCTTTTGTAGAGCTTTTTCCTCATCCTTCTAGCCCATCTCATCCAATGAATTCCATTGGATGTAACTCTTTTAAAATATGTCCCATAGAATGGGATGGGACGGAAATGTTTTTGGTATCATCCAATCCCATAGGACAAACAGATTTAATACAAAGTTATTCCTGTGCTAAGAGCAACACAACCATTTTATATTTAGATGTTGTAGTCGTCTATTCAAGTAAAACAAGTGAAAAATAAAAAATTTGTAAGTGTTTAAGTATTTCAATCCTTGTGATGTGATACAACAACAAAAAATAATGAACTAACAGATAGGTTAGGAATCTCATACAGTCCATTGTAACAGTAATATATTATTTACGTTTTTTTTTGACTTATAGCTAGCAAAATATCTGTATATAGATCATCTTTTATTGTTGAAAGTCAATTTTATGAATGTAGTTCAATAATATTAACCTTAGCTCCTTCTTCTAATATCATTAGCCCATCCTTATCTCCGAGTACTAACTTTGCATTAGGTGTTTATGAGTTCACAGTTGAACCAATCAACTGTTGAATGAAATAAGACTCGTCGAATTATACAGTTATAAAAGATGCAATGAGTAGTTTACCTTCTTTTTGTCGACAGGTTTTTGGGTATTCGCAAAGAAATCAAAAACGAAAAAATTAGAACCATTCAAAACTTTGTTAGTTGTTAATCATATGTAGAAGGGAGTGAGATAGATGAGGCTAATAACTGACTGATAAAGATTTGAATCAACTTTATCTCTTTCAAAAAGTATTTAAAGATTGGAATGTCTCATGGGACATTATGGTAAGTTTTCAAGTCCTATCCCATAGAACGATAGATTTTTTCTTTATCAGAGCTAGAGGTTAAATATTTTTGAACTATTTGTTGTAAATCTTTGCTTTATGTATTAATGATATTTTTCTGAGTCTTAATTATAATCTCTAATTATAATTATCAACTTGTTATGATCATCGACTATTTTCTTTTCGGTTAAAGAATAAAAATATTCAGTTAGATTTTCTGAAAGGAGGAAAAAATGTATCAGTAACTTGAATCATTGGACAATTTCGACTATTATGCATTGCGATCATTTCTATCTATAAAGAGAAGCAGGATTTTTTAAACATCTTTATTATTTAGCAAATTACAAGAATTCGCACAACAAAATATTATATATTAAATTTCTTAGCGTGATAATCATGTTTTAGTTTCATGATCAATTTTTTTCTTGCCCATATGGTACATATCGAGAACAATACGAATTTGATTTATTTGAGCTAAAATTATTATTTAAAATAATTCAATACTAATAGAAAAGAAAATACGTACATTGTGTTTCTGGACTTGCAATTCCATTTGTACGTATTCGTTGATCATGCAAGCGACGATTCATTGATATAGCTTCTTCACCTAAATTACAAATAAAAAAAATAATTTTATGTATTTTTATAAATTTTATATCTATAATCATACTATTTAAATTAAATAAAATTCCAATCACAATTGAAATAATTGTTCCTGTTCGACCATGTCCACCCCTAGAACATTTATTTATTCAATTTTTATTTTATTTTGTATTCAAGGAGGTGCTTACCAACAATGAACAAGAACAACTTGTCCTTGTTTAATTCTATCACCAAGTCCAAGACAAAAATCAAGAACATGTTGATCATCTTGATGTACAGATTGGTCTCGAATAGGAAATGAAATAAATTCAATTTCACGATTTACTAAATCATCAAAGAAACATATGAGTTTATTTTGCTTTTCTTATATTTCAAATATGAAAAGAATCTTTAGATCGGAGCATTCAAAAGCTAAACACATTAAATAAATCTTGGTACCTTCTTTAGCAAATTGTAACATAAGATCTTTATATGGTGTAAATGTTTTTAATTCTTCAATTTCCATAATGTTAACCACAACTTGAACACCAGCATCAACAATTTTACGTACTAAGAGTTTATGAGCATTAGGATCTTTTTCACCTGGATATGCACTAGCCAATAAAAGTTTAGGAATCACTAAATCAAATTCAATCGAAAAAAAACACCTTTGTCAAAAAATTGTAACTAACCCCAATGTGAATAGTTTGTCGGGCCACGTGCAGATTCATCAATTTGATTCAGTACTAAAGCAGGTGTTGTTGTCATTTTACTCTACGCCTTAGAAAGGAAGTAAAAGAGAAAAAGATGTAATCTTATATATGCCGTTGTTACCAACAGTGACATATGAGTAATCGACAAGTTGATAAACACAATTTGTTTTTTTTTTCTTTTCTTTCTTTTCTTCCGTCATATATGACCAAAACAAAGCAGCATGGCAAGAAAGAGAAAAACATGAAAAACATGCATTTTTTCTTTCTTGTGCACTGTAATATAACCAATTCACTTCATAAATAATGTAAAAGGTACATGTGCACATGTTTGCATAACTGAAAAATATTTGTAATTTTGTAATCTGACATGTTGATGTTGTTGGCTCTTTTTTGTATGTAGATAAGTTGTTTCTTTTTAAAAAAAAAGATTCATGCGAATGACAAATAATATACTTGCTTTTATTTATAAGAGACAGCTATAAATATTTCAGATTTAAAATAGATGGCTCTTCTTCGATGTTTATCAAAACAATTAAAAGAAATGGAAAAAGATCCACCACCATTATGTCAAGCTCAACCAGTTGATCCATCAAAAGATATGTTTAACTGGAATGGTTCAATTCGTGGTCCTGAAGGAACACCATTTCAAGATGGAATTTTTTGTTTAACAATACATTTTCCAACGGATTATCCATTTAAACCACCTCGAATCCGTTTTACAACTCGTATTTATCATCCAAATATAAGTTCACAAGGTGATATTTGTTTAGATATTCTTCATGATAAATGGTCACCTGCATTAACTATTCGAACTGTTTTACTTAGTTTATGTTCATTATTAACCGATCCAAATCCTGAACATGGCTTAGAAAATGAAATTCTCAACATTTATCGAATGGATAAAAGTCTATATGAAAGGAATGCAAGAGAATGGACAAAAAAATATGCCATGGAAAATCAAAATAAAGGGTCTTAGCTCAAAAAAGAAAACTTTTTTGAGCAAATGAATGAACTGATCATAATTGATTAAAATAGATTGAATAACAAATAAATGATCTATTTCATTATTTTATTCTAACAGAAAAATTCTCCATGTCACCTGTGGTTTATTTTGTTTTTTCGCTTGAAATTATTTTTATGTAAATCATGTGGTACTCGGCTTGTAATTCTCATATAATGATCTTAATTAGTAGAAAGCGTCAGTATTTTTATGTTTCATAAGCTAACTAAGTGATTAAAAATTCAAGATAATAGTAGTTCTTTTTTTTCCTTCAGATCAAGTTCAATCATTTTCAATGGCTCTTGGGCGACGTCTTGCTCATCATTATTGTGATATGGGAAAAAATCCACCTCCTCTACGGTATGCGAAACCGGAAAATCCTGTTAAAGACTTGACTCATTGAACTGGTCGGATTGAAGGATCACCAGATACACCATATGCTGGTAGAAGATTTTACTTGACTATTGATTTTCCTTCAGATTTTCCGTTTAAGCCACCACAGATGAAATTTATCACGCCTGTTTATCATCTAAATATTAGTTTAAAAGGCGAAATATGTTTAGATATTCTTCATTCTCAATGGTCTCCTCTTTTAACAATACGTAGTCTTTTGATATCATTATGTTCACTACTGACAGATCCAAATCCCGATCATGGACTCAATAAAGAAGCTCTGCATATCTATCGAACCAATCAAGAAAAATATAACCAAATATCCAGAGAATGGACAAAAAAATATACTACAGAGGACAAAGGGCTTAATTAAATCACAATCATCGTACTTGATTTCGAAAAAGAAATTTCTATAGTGAATAATGAATCATTTTTTTAAAGACATTAATTTATTTTTTATAAATCAAATGAGACATTTGTATTGTGAAACATATGATTAAAAGAAAAAAACTGTCTTCAAACTCTACTTGTATATACATGTTGAATATCAGAAGATGAATCATCTCGTTCCATAAACATAGGTTCATCTTCACTGGTATGATTTGTTATTTTGGACCTATTCAATCTTCCAGCAACAATTGATAATAATGGAAGAGCTATTGTTTCAAGTAAAACTCCAACTACAAATAAAGCAAAGCCAGTACCTGTATAATTGAAGACAGAACCAGCAAGAGCTAAAGCGCAGATTCCAACCATTACAGCAATAAAAGCAAATATTGGAGCTATAAAAACTAAATAAATATTTAGTACTATAATTCCTGTTAGAAATCCAAATATAGTGGAGAAAAGTGTAAAAAGAATAGATATGATTGAAAGTATAGCAGCATTGCGTAAACTATAAAAATTTGTGGTTGAAACTTGATAAATCGGAGCATCGAAATCCAAATAAATTGATGCCTCACTATTAGGATTTGTACATCCTGGAGTATATGCTGTAATATTTAATACAGAATTTTGATAAGAGGTTGTTGAACATGAATATGAATTAAACGATCCACAATTAAGTGTTGATGATATTGTTCCTTGAGATGTGTATGGAGCATAGCACGAAGAAAATAAATTAGCTTTAGCTACAATAACTGTTTGATTAGCATTTGTACCAGTATACCATGTTGGAAGAGCAACACCAATACAAGTAAATACTAAACTAATGAAACCGATAATACCTCCAGTTAAGCCAAGAGCAAAACTAACAGAATCATGATTACGAGAAACCATTGACGAAGGTTACAAGGGAATAGTTGAAGTAGTTTTGTTTTTACTTTTAATGTTGGTGAGAAAGAGAGAGACAATATATTGAATTAAATGTGCACTTTTTTTTATTTTTATTTTCATGACAACAAAAAAGAATGTAGAAACAAAGTAAACATATACTTTCACAATACGTGAACAAATCCGATAAAATTTCATTTAGTTGCAACTAATAAAATATTTCAACCTATTGGTGTGAATACATCAAATAGTCTTCAGAATTACATTTATGTATTCGATCAAAAAAGTTAAATGACATTATGTTGAAAATGAAAACATTTATAACATTTATATCAAAGAAAAATAATTTTCTATTTGAATCTTTTTTTTTTTTCAGAAACTGTTTAACTCTTAAATACTAATAAGAAGTTCCAATTTTATTCCACTTTAGCATATATTTGAATTTTTAAACATCAACTATGTGCATATTGTCATGCACATCATTGATCTCAATAGGCTGGGCTCAACCAAAAAAAAATAGCCCATGGGTTACTCATCTGATTACATTGAATGAATTTTTAACACATGAATAAACAATCATATTGCTAGTATCAGTAATTAATATATAAATAAACGTTGGGTAGCGTATTTGATAACTTGAAAAACCTTCGATTCTCTTGAATTCACCAGTATTTTTTGAAGTCTTTGTTGAAAGACTAAAAGCTTTCTAACATCAATATATGTTTGCTGTTGCCTTTATGATAACAAAATATGTTGATGGTTGTTCTATTAAAGGAAATTTCATCAGTTCGAATGTATACTGTTTTGTATGTGATGATGAACTAACATGAAGAAAAGTGTTGATAAAAATTCATGATGAACGACGAGAGCTAGGCAAGGATATTCTCTTCAATACAAAGATAAATTTTTCATGATGAGAAGAATTTTATGTTTTTCTTTGCTTTTCTTCATATAGAGAGTGTTCCAATAATCTAGAATCCTCTACTGATGTTGTTAAAAAAACTATTTCTGTGATTTTCAGGAGCTCAATCTCACCTGTTTCTATACATTGAAGATATTTTTTCGATAACATTCATAAGGTATCCTATAATTTTAATTAGCCTGTACCAATGGAAGAACTATATGATGTTTTCGAACAAAAAAATACCGTAAAAATACGCAACATTTGAAAAATTTTATATGTTATTGAAGATGTGACCCATAGACACCTGTCTTAATATCAAATCAGCCAATCTTTTTCTGTTCAATAAATTTCAATCCATAGGTTGAGCTAGCCCTGTTTCGGTCTAACTCACTGAGACCTCGGGTGCACATCGTATATTAATGACTACGATCGTGGTAGCAAGACAACGGTTTGTTTTATGGTTTAATTTTATTTTATTAAAAATATAAACAACAGTAATCTATGGCTATAGTGACGCCTGTATGACCTATTTATTATTAAATATGTCATTTTTTTAGCTGTTTGTGGATTTATCATCTTTTTTTCTTGCATACATAATATCTATTATAAACATTGATCCATGTGTATTTTCCGAACTATGTCTAATTAATATATTACACAAGTAAATTATAATTCTTTATTTGAATGATGATCTATATTGAAGAATTAAATTGAAGTGTACACACTAACTTATCACGTTTCTAAATAGTATATAAATAAATTTTTATCATATAAAATGATCTGATTCATATTTCACATTTAGCGCAATAAGCTGTTTTTATGCATTCAATAAGACAATCTTTTATTCGTTGACGCAGATGAAACAATAACGTTCTTGTAAAGACTAGATTTGTTTCACTTCTATGATGTATACGGTCGCTCTCTCGATATTTCAAATAATCTCTATAAAAAAAAAAGGAAATTCTGAATAAAGCATTGCAACAAAACTATAATTCGAAAAGTTTCATAGAAAGTTGATTAAATTCATTTTTTCACACAAGCAAATATTGTATCATTTAGTATGTTGTCAACTTAAAACATAATTGTGTATCGTTTATGAATAGAAAAAAAATTTTGTATAATAGTAAGCATCAATCTAGAGAGAGAGTCTCATCTTGTCATCTTTTGATTTCTATTTGAATGAATACATCATTTATAATTCAAGTAGAAAATATCATCATTGATAAAAAAAAAATTAACTTTTTTTTGTAAGAAAATGTCATCTTCATTTTCTAAAAAAACTGAGAAAACAGTTATTATTTTTGCAACAAAAATATGTCGACAGATATTGAAAAAATCGTGTATCTGATCTTTCATGTAATTCGGCTCGTTTTAAATTTGAGCATATTCATTGGTACTTTATTATTTCTATTTGGTGGATGTCTTCATGATCAACTTCGATCGTCTAAACGACAATGGCTTGTGTTCAATATATGTCTAGCTATGATAGTTTTTGCAATTATTAACTCGGTTTTTGCCATGTTACCATTGGCACCAACATATCAAACAGTTTTGGCTGTACAAGTATGTACATTGCAACATTATCTTGAAGATATTGCACAAGGACAAGTGGCTTATTCTTTCGTAATGTTTTGTATGCATCAAATAGGTCCACAAGAATGGAGAAAAAGAAGTTTTCTTTGGTTTGCGTATGTATAATTTCAAGCTTTAAGAAGATTGTATAAATAAATCATCTATTCATTATAGTCCTAAGGTATGCCACGTTACTATTCGACTTCAACCTTACTATACCTTAAACACATCAACAAAAGCTTCTTTCTCCAGGCTCTCAATTGAATAACCCCATATTTTGATCCTATGAGAATTTAATCGTTAGCAACGTCTTCAGATCGATCGAAAATCTTTTCAGAATTCTACTACCAAGGATATTATAAGAAACAACTGTTGAATTCGATCAAATGTTCACCCTATGCTCATCCTTAGGTCCATTTTGAATTAACTGATTTGCGATGATATCCATGAGCTACTTCAAGAATGATTTTCTTATCGGATAGTTGAGCAGATATTATAGTTGTATCTTTTTCAAAATGAATACATCACAATGAAAGTATTCATGCTCGTAACATTTCTAGGATACGCTGAAGATCATAAGGCAGTGGCAGAACCAGAAATCCAGCCCCAAAATCCTGGTTCTGCCATCGTCATTAAGTCTAACTCTTCATACTATTTCAAGATCAGTTCCTTACTTAGCCTTGTAAGCTTGGTAAAAAAATAATAACTGTAGAGAGGTATTTCGTTAATACGAATTAATATTTAATCATGTTAATATGTATTACTACTGATGACACGAAATCATTATTCCAAAACAAAACAGTTTTCTTCTGAGCATTCTTTGTTTTTTTTTTTTTACAAAAAGACCAAATGAATATAAGAAATACTTGTTTATTTTAGAATTTGCGTTGGTATTCAATGGTTATGCAGTTATCTGCTTCCATTACCTCAAATATTAATGTCAAATATCTTCATTTGTTTTGCATTTTTTCCAAATCAATTTTTTGTCATTTATAGTGTGGCATTTCTTCTTGCTTTACCTGTATTTCTTCATTTAATGATTTGTATCATAATGACTATATTCAAAACAAATGAAACAACAAATAATCAAATATATCCTGCTGGTCAAATAAATTCAATTGAAATAGATCATCAATTATTGATGAAGTATATGCTAATTATGGCTTTATTATTTGATATTATTGGTTATGGACCACGAAGCATATTAGCTGTAATTGATTATCAATTACAACAAAGCATTGCTATTTATGCAGTATTGGAAATTCTTCCATCGCTTTGCCTTTTGATTGATCTTGGTTTATTGTACAAAATGAATAAAGAAGTTCGAAAAAAGTTTACATCAGTATGTGGATGTTAAACAATAAAAAAAAAGAAAATAGTTATTTTGTGTTGTTTGTCTTGTTCGACTGATGTGAAACATAAAATAGAAAAAACTTAAAAATAAATCTACTTTCATAAATAAAAGTCAATGTCTTTATTTAAACATTAATGAATGGCAATGCACACATAATATTTATATTTTGTACTACAAGTTTATTTCTATAATTCTTTTTTCTTTGAAGAATTTTACATATAATGGAGTTGTAAAACTTTGTAATATATATTTCTGCTGTATACCTGAAAAATACCTTTGCTTTTACTCAAGAAATCAGACTGAAATACTATAAATCTTATTCATTACTATTACTTTAATTTTAGGTCTAATTCCAAATATTTATGAGCATCAATAGCACTTCGTAGTAAAATATTTGTTTTCTGATGCTTCACAGAATCTCTTAATTTTTTCTAAAGTTCTTCCAATGATTATTTTAATGATATTTCCTGAAATAAGCTATTGCTATATACACCGGTTCAATTAACAATTTATTAATCAGAATTTGAAACAAATTTCATTTAATTTTTTTTCAATGACATCATTCAAAAAAGCAGATAACAGTACCGTATAATAAACTAGAAAGAAAAAATATAACTTTTCCTGTAGATATACAATTACAAATCACTTAGTGCAACATTTGAATAATATTAATCTAATACAAGTTTATAAAAAAAAAAAAAGTTCTTTCAAAATTTCTTCCTTGATATATGGTGTTTTTACTTTTTATTCTTTTGCTATCCTTTTATTATAGTGAATAAGAAAATCTATTCAATAAATAATATCAGAAAAAATGAAAAAATTGCTCCGTTTAAATCATTGTAACATGAAGCATACTACGAAATTAGTTACTAGCAAATTCACTTAATATAATTTATTGAGTAATACGATTTATTTCAATGAAAAGAGTTAAAAAGTTTCGTTCATAGATATTTATTTGCAATGAAAAAAAACTTCGTATCTGCGCATCAGAGATCTTTGTAAACTTCCTTTCGTGAACAACAAAAGTCATAGAAGGTAACATTAAATCATCCTTGGTCTACTTTCGAAAGTTCTGAATAAATAACATCCTCTAGAAAAACCTATTTACGGTTCTATTCAGTAATGTTTCCTATTCGTTTTACTATGACACTCATTGAAAATCAAGAGGAAACAAAGAAATTTGAATATTTCAAAGGAAGCTGCTTTCATAAATCATGTTTTAAGAATGGTTACGTATTACTCGAATTGAGTTTTCTATGCTTGAGTTTAAGTCTAAATTAAACTCAATTCTATCATTGTAAAGTTATATAAATAATTCGATTCGATTTTTGCGTGAAATTCCATTTCATTTTATTTTTCATTGATAAGATTAGGGTATACTAATGTCATTCAAATTAAAGAGAAAATGATAAAAATGAAAATTTTTATTTTTCTCATTAGATCTTTCAACAACCTTATGTTCGACATTGATGAAGACATGACAATATTTTGAATTCTTTAAAATTAATTGAAATTCGTGAATAAATAAAGAAATATCAAATAACAAAAGTATTTCTATAAATAGTTTTCCAAATAATAGTGTTTATTTATTTTTTTCTACAAATCGATGCTGAAAAGAAAAAAAATGAATCAATGACATAATATCACACTATATTTTATATAAGACCTATGGATTATTTTTCAAAAAGCAATTAGCAATGTATTTATTTATATTCATCTTCAAAATGGTAAGAGTAGTTTTTCATCTAATAAATAAAGTGAATACTGTCAATATTCTTATAATTTTTCTTCAAAAATATCCTATAAGATTTCTAATAAAATCAGCTTACAAAAACATTTTGAGTCTTAACTATTACTTTTTCTTCTACAAATGAATTTATTTTTCAAGCACGTTTCAGTGCATATTACTTATATTGTTATTATAAGATGTGTTCAAACGTCATTATTTAATTGTCACAAAATCAATAAAATATTTATCATAGACACTCAACTGATACTTATTGAGAATAGCTTGTGTTAAGAAACTTTTTGACATAAGTTTTCATCTTAAGACAGTTTTTATCAGTTGACAAAAACTGTTAATTTAAATACATAAAAAAGAATATTTTTCTATTTAGACATAAATATCATTGCGAAGTATCTTCCTATTTCCCATCAAATAAATAATTTCAAATTGATTTATCGACAAAAAACAAATTTTCTCTTATTTATCATTCGAAATTAGAAATTTTTCCCGAAAGAAAAACAAGTGACACTTCGGTTATGAATTTCCATAAAGTCTTGAAAATCCTTCAAAGTCTGCTTAAGTCTCTTGAAGTTCTATGAAATCTCAAAAAGTCATCTGAAATTTTTACATACATTTAGTGAATGCAAAATTCATAAGAAAACCAGCGAAACTCATTAGTTTTCAATGATCTTATTTTATCAGAAATGTGAACTTTTATTGCTTCGTCAATCTGCTGATAAAGTCAAAACTCGTTTGACATTTCAAAGGATCATAGTTAAGCCCCCCCCCCCCCCCCCCTCAGAAAATCCATTTTTTGGTAAAGTAATCGAAGTCGAGTTTTTATCATAGGAAGATGCAGCGAAGTTTCCTCTTTCAGAATATATATAAATTTAAAAAGAAAAGGTCAAATTTGTACACACTTTCATAGGAGATTTCCACCTCACTACCCGGTTTTCGGAGAGATTTTCGCGGTTTTTGTTATTTTTGGGAATACTACTTTTTTTACTTCTATCCGCATGGAATAAACATTCTTATATCATATAGTACGACCTGTAGTGCTAGCTGACGTCATCTATGGCGTGCTTTCAAAAATTTCACATAAATATTATCAATATATCATTATTTTCTGCATTTGAGTGAAAAAATCCATTTCTAAAACTTCTTTCTCGTTTTTCTCAGAACATGGTTTTCAGTCAGAAAAATTGAGATAACTCACGCACGGTTCAAGATATAACACATATTTTTTTTTGTTTTAAAGGTCTCAATGAGAGGAAAGTTTTCATCAACCAGTTTTTTTAAAACCGATTCCTGTCCTGAGAAAAGTGAAATTTACTGTCGTCAGATCGCTGTTTTTGATGTTTTTTTAAGACATGCCTACTAAAATATTCATAAAAAATGAACAATATGGAATTTAAAAATTCTGGTTGATGAAAAGTTGCGTATTGACATTGGGTTTAATCTGAAACCACCCCGAGCTCTATACCTCGTATTGCGACAAAGTTATCCAGATTCTCCTGAAGGCCAAAAATGGCCTATGAATCAGCTGAAAACTCGGTCTAGTATGACCTATAGAGCTGAAATTTTTACCAGAGGCGTATCTCTCCAGGATCACTGATCCCTGAAATTTTCAGCTTAAAAGACCCATTCTAAGTGGGAAATCATTTCTGAGGAGGGGGGAGGGTCCTTAATAACTCAAGGTTTTATGACGTTGTAAGTGTGGTGATTGTGACTGCAGCTGATATGAATAACCATATCAACGGCAACACCACTCTTTTCAAGAGGAGAACAGTAATCTGTGAGTTTGGATGCGTTACGATAACTTTGACAAATTGAAAACTTATCAAACATAATTGGGAATCATTAAAAAAAATCACTGAAACTCGACTGTTTTTTTTTATGATTTTCAACTGATGTAGAAGTCAATTGAATCACTTGTTTTTCCATTGACTCTTTTACACCTATATTCACATTCCATATTCACCTACAATCGATATCTAAGGTTTCTCCAACGTTTAGATAGTCTCAAATTGTCTTGAAATCTATTGAAGTCTTATGAAGTCTCTTGAAGCTGTGAAGTTTTCTGTTTTCCCATCGTCTTTTCCTGGTGTAAGAGTCGACCATACTTATTTTGTTCTATAAGACGAACTTCTCTGTTACTCCAATTTATACTTACCCTTAGTACAAGCAAACAAAATATTTATGTGTATGCACAAATAAACTATTTTAATTTATCCAATACACGTTGAAATAGTGATCGAAATCTTCTTAATCATTGCGCAAGTTTAAGAAACTTATATTCATTTTGATATGCATATATTTGAGCATTAGCTAGCATTTGTTCGAGACGTTCCGACTGATGTTCATTCAAAACGAAATCTTCATTCATCAGTGGATTCAACCGAAAATATTTGTTAGTAAAAGATCATAAAAACAAACATGTATTGTCTTTGTATTTTGTAACACTATTAACTAATGCTAATAAGTTTTATAGTGCTAAAAATATAAACTTTTTGGTAGTGATCCTAAAAGGCTGTTACTTCTAACAGAGATTTTGTCGCTGAAAAAGGGAGTTCTTTTAACCCTTACGACCCTAATATCTCTCGCAGAAAATATCTGGAAATTTTGAATGTTATATAGATCTTGCTTTTCTCATGGAGATCTATCTGTCCTAAAACTTTAAAAATTTTCTCCTGAACCATTCTTCAAGTATCAAAATGATGCGCGTTCTCGACGAGACAAAGTTTATGGATCACTATTTTTAGATATGATTTCTTGCTATTAGTCATTACAAGAAAAAAAAAGACAGGTTACTCTTTATGCTATGCAATCAGTATCCTAATTTCTTCCAAAAAATCTTATATTATTATATAAATAGAAAAATATATACTACAGCAGTATTGGTTTCGCCGATTTATTGACATAGTAAAAAATGAATCGCCACAACAACTATCTAACAATATTGCGAAAAGAAAAACGAATAACAACAAAGTTAACTGAGAAATAATCCAAGAGAAGTAATAGAGTAACAACAAAGTTTTGATACAAATAGGCGTGGCTCAACCAAATAACAACATATTCATAGAAACAATTACTATTTTACATATGCAGAAAAAAAAACTTATTTGGATAAATCAATAGACTAATCAGCATTATGAAACAAAAGAATTCTATCCCATGTAGTTGATAATGTAAAATAATAGACATTATTTTATATTATCAACTACATCGGACATACATATCTGCTCAAAAAAACCGGAGCAGAGAATATCTTGCGATA